GTTTGCGGGGTTACAATTTTTACTCGGCTGTACGTAATTTGAAAAGTTACATGCGTACGTCACAAAAGCGGGGTACATACATGCGTGTGGTTGAATAAGGCGGCGTAATATGCGGCCGTCATCTTCTTCTTTTTTTCGCTCACTGTCTCGCACCAAACTTCTCGTATCGTGATCAAGCTCTAAAAGAACTCGTCTTAAATTGGTCATCATGCTCCGAAGTTCCGTCTGACATATGACACCAAGGTCGAAGTAAAATTATGATGTACAAATATGACGTGCTGCATTTTATTTACGATGATAGATGGAAGTCCACATCCGCTCAGGTGTAAATACATTTGCTGTGCGACATATTCGCGATACAGAGGGTCAAATCACCGTTTACCTCACGTTCCGCATTTTTAATTTAAAGTTCACGAGAGTTGATACATGGTTGAGCCCCTGGATCGACTGAATCATATCCGAAATGGTGCACATGCTGAATACGCTTGTAACAGAAGTTGCGTGTATACGCATGTATAATGATACACGTTGTGTATTGGGTATATATCAAGAAACGAACGTTTGAACGCCTAAGCGGCTGTGAACTTTGAACTACAGTCATGAATCAATTGCAATATATATGTCATGACTGTACGATGTCCCAACTAACTTCGCCGTGACGATGGCGTATATATTTTGTTTTTAATGTCGGAAGGAATGGCCAGGTTTAGATAAGCTCTTTTCGAGCTTGATCATGAGACGAAAAGCTTGATACGAGACATTGCGGGATATTGAGCGAAGCGAAAAGAAGTAACGGCCTCTCGTGTTGCGGTGTTGTGTCCGACAAGAATGCTACTGGAAGGTCTGCTACCTAAGTTTACATGCGTCCGTATGTATGTTCATCCCCGACAGGGCCTAGGTGTGTTGGTCGAAAACGCTGGCGAAAAATCTCACAGCAGACAAAGATTTTTCTCCCGCATAAAGAAAAAAGATTAAGAAAAGTACTGCAGTGTTTGGTTTGACCTGGACAAAATATATCATGGTTGTGCCTGTGTCCTTCCCAACAGCCCAGCCACGGCCAATGGGCTGGATTGTTTCAGATCAAGGCGCAGACTCATGGCTAATGATACAGCCTTATTTCGACCTTAGATGATGCATTGATGAAGATGTCTGTCTGTCCAGATGAAGGGAAAATATCGCATCGTGTTCCATTGAGGTATCGGTATCTGCCGTTCGATTTTGGCGGGAACGTTTTAAAAAATCGTAACAGGTTTTGTGGTGGTTTGGCGTTTCGAATTGGCACAGTTGAGCCAAAGCACCAGCGATTAACTCCCGATTATCGGGCGTTGCAACGAGCGGCTTAACCCCGACGTTGAGTGCTTCGGGCTGCGTTTGGTGCCGTTTTAGGGCCACGGTGTGTATTGTTTCGGCTGCGGCCCGTGCCCCGGGCGGCCCGAGAACGGCTTCCGGCCGCTGCGTGTTGCACCAGTGACGTCACATGGGAACATTGCTAGTCGCGATCTGAGATTGTCATCGGGTTCAGCTGTGTCCAGAGGAAGGCGGATCTCCAGAGCCGACATAGCGATCCCCAAAGGCGGTGTGATTTTGTGTTGTGCCGTGTCGTCTGCAATGCTGACACCCCGATCAGGGACGTATGGCTCATGAAGTGACAGTCCATGGCCAGTTCTTTTGATGCTGTTTTTATTTATTGTTTTTTAGTGCGCAAAGGTTGTGTGCAGTCAAACAAACAATGACTGGGATTAACTGCACGGTAGAAGTATGGCTTGATGTCACATGCTTATTACGGGTCTTTATTGATATCGTGGTTACCCGGGCCCACCGGTAATTGCAGCAGTGTTGCTCTGTCAGCTTTAAAACGTTTACGAAGGTAGCGTGCTATTTTGTTGCCACGGTGGGTTCAATGGTTTCGCGCTGTTTAGACTCGTGCGTTGGTCCAGTGGTGTGTGTCACCCTGCGTAGTTGGCGGTAGACGTGGGCGTGTGCTGGTCACTAACTGGTGCACTAAGCAAACAAACTGAACCTGTGAAGTGTCTCAATAAAAACCTGCACCGGACTTGCAGCACTGTTTCGGCTAGCTTACCGCTTGTGCCAGTGGGTTCTGCAGTACGTGCATTATTGTTGCGAGATAGCCGAATGCAACACAGTGATAAGCGTTCCACTGTTCGCCGCGGTAGATCTTCTGTCAAGCAGCTTAAGGTTGTCTGTAAAAAAGGTGGGTCGACAAATGCCCTTAGATGTTAGTTAGGTCCTTTCATGTTAACCGACAGTGTGAAGTGAGTGTTCCATTCACCCGTCCGTCTTTGTTAGAAATGCGAACACGTCATAACATCGTTGGCATCATGAGCAAAAGAGTGGATAAGTATAAACCAACCTGCCAGCCCTGGGGCCTGCGTCCTCCCCAGCGACCGTCAAATGTTTTTAGCCGCTCGGTTCTCGCAGTTAATGGCCCGGCTCCCTCGACGGTCGGTTTGACCTCTCTGACCGCTGGGCTCGGCTATGCGGCTACCGACCATCCGGCCCTGCCCTTTCTCTAGTGTCAGTTCATGGCAAGATTCCTGCCCTGCATGATGCATTGCCGCAGTGTGATGCACGGCCTGTATCTAAACAGACTACGCTAAGTAGCATGTGTGCCGGCTAAAAACGTTTGATTTCAGTATTTCATAGACGCATCACCCAGGCCAGGACGATCCATGCCACTCCCCAAAGTCGCATTTAAGGTCATATGACTGAGCAACGCCGCACTGACGCTGTTTCGCATCGATCTGAGCAAAATCAGGCGTCATTATCAAGCCCGCTGCCAATTCTAGTGCGGGCCATGGCTACGTCAGCCTTCGAGGTCGATTGTTGCGGTTAAAAAGCTCAAAAACGCAAATTTTCGAGGTGAAATGACGGGGTAGAGACGCGCTGTCTCTGTATGGGACTGTGTGGGCTGATGCTGATACAGAGTGTGTCATCGGAGAGACACGCATGAATTCCAGCTTGTGCTCGTCTAAGCACGCGAACCATGTCGATCTTCAAAGTCACATTTACAGGCCAAAGACGAGGCGAGATGGGGCCGCACCGAACCAGCAGCGCGCGTGACCGGACGGATTAAGGCGGGACGGAACTTGACAAGCAGGACCGGGCGGAACCGGAGGGGATTTAACCGGACTAGACAGGGTCGGACGGCACCTACCGTGATGAAAGGAGCCGAGGAGGACCGAGCGGGACCGCACGGAAGCGGACGAAACCGGACCTGGACGAAACTGGATGGAATGTTGTGAGGCGAGACGGGACCGGAGGGAATCCGATCAAACCAGACGGGGCTGGAGGGAATCAGATCAAACCAGACGGGGCCGGCCGGATAAGGTCAGACGGAGCCGGATGAAATCGAAAGAGACCTTATCGGGGCAGATGGGACCGGAAGGGACCGGATATGACCGAACGGAACCGGATGGGACGGAACTGGGCCTGACGGAACCGGACCTGAAGGAGCCTGACCGAACCGAGCGGGACCGGTCGGAACCAGTCGGGACCGGATGGGGCTAGACCAAACCAGACTTACCGGACAGGATCAACTAGAATCGGGGGCACCGGATGTGACTTAGAGGAAGTGTTCCACACTTGTGTTGAGTTTTGAGACGAAATAGCCATCTTAAATATCATCCGGTGCAGTTTACAGTTCTGCCCTTTTTAATGCCGAAATCTCTCTAATTTCTGAGCTACACGTCCGTGAAGATGCGCAAACTATTTCGCGGAGACTATTTCAATGTCGGCCAGGCGTCCATGACGCCTTAATAGCGTTTTTCAATGTTCCCATTCCCTAAGCCGCGCGGCGATCAAGGCCAAGAAAAATATGATGATCGAGTCGTTCATATTTGGAGTTCGTAGTCACAGTTAGCGGGTAAAAACGGTCGTTAACTGGCTCTCAATCGATGTTGTGCAAGGTACCATGACGAAATCAGATAATGACGCCATGAGCAGCGTACTTACAATACAGAGACATTGTGTTGTTTGTGACAGTCTTTCCCACTTAAAAGTATACCAATGCTTAGATATAAGTGAGCTTATGTCATATCTGATGATCGCTTTAATTTCTTCAGATATGGAACATTCCGTAATAAAGTCGGACGCTACATAACGGGACCAGGTAGAACAGACTGGAATGTGATCCAACGTTTGGAACCAGATGAAACTAAATGAAACTAGACGGTTTCGGATGTAATTTGACCCCTCATGGGATCGGATTGGACAGGACAGGACCGGACGGAGCCAGACATGGCGACACGGGACCTAGTGGCATGACGGGATTGGCTCGGACAGCAAGGGGCGTGAGCAAAATGAGTGGGACCGGACAGGATTAGAACGGAGCGCGGCCGGAACGAGACCAGACCCGTCTGGTCCTGTCCGGTCCCGTATGGTTCCATCTAACCTTGTCTGATTCCATCCAGTTCAATCTGGTCCCACCCGGTTGTGTCTGGTTTTTGGTGTGGTCCCATTCAGTTTCGTACAGTCCTGTCCGGCCGCTTCTAGTGGCGCCCAGTCCCATCCGGCTCTGTCCGGCCCCGTTCATCACGCCAGGTCCCGCGCGGCACCGTCCAGTCCCACTCCCGTGACGCCTCGTCCGGCCTGGACCGGTCTCTTCTGATCTTGCCCGGTCTCATCTGACGTTATCACGATCCGTCCGCACCGTGCGGTCTTATCTGCTGCCGTTTTGTCCTGTCCTGTTTCTATCGGTCACGTCCGCGTTTTCACCCGAACCCGTCTGGTTTCAGTGCACCTTCATCCGGTTCGATCCGATCCTGTTCGATCCCGTTCGGTTCCGGTCGGTTCTGTCCAGCTCCGCCCGATCCTGTCTGGTTTTGTCCTGTGCGGTGTCGTACGACACTATCACAGATTGGCGGTGTTTTTTTTTTGGTTTTGTGACGTCATCGTACAATCAGCTGGGAACTATCTTTGCATGAGCAGCTGACTGCTGCATCGCGATTTACTGGCGTGTTGTGAGCAGTGTAGGTGGTGGTCGGTGGGTGGTGGATGAGAGTAAACAGCATTTATCGCCAATGAATGGCATATAGAGTTGAATTAAGGTGCTGGAGGTGTTTATAAATGTTTGGTGCTTCTACTGGTATTGGTATCTACAGTTTTCGTGCTATAATTAGTTAATTAAGACCGTTTATGTTGTGGGCCCCCACGCCTGCCATACTGTCGTTACAAGAGGCCTTGGGTTGATTGCAAAGGCCTTGTCTCATTTCCATATTTTATTAGTGCTTCTATTCTCCCTTGCCAAGATGCTGAACCAGTTTCAGACACCATATTAAAAAGGGGTCTTGACTTGGACAGCCCTGCATCACAGTTGTGTGGGATCAGTAACTTGCGATGAGGGGGAATAGTGCTGTCAAAACTGTGAGTCAGTGCATGTGGTCACTCAGGTAAAGTCAGGCACAATATACGAATCTGCATTTCTTGAAATGCTTTTCATGATTTTTTATATTTATATATTCATGAACAATTATATTTATTATATATATATATATCTTGGCAACAGGGCAGGCAGGTCAGACAAGAACTGAAATGTGCTGGCAAATGTGTTGTCTACCAATCATACATTGTTAACTCCTTCCAACTAAGAGGTGTTGCAATAAGAATATTATGGGAATAAGCTAATAATACCTTCTCTGAAGCTGGCCATAGTAAAGCATTTCAGATCCCAACTACTGCAAGATTGGGCCATAAAAGCAAATCTTCAAGGAGACTAGTTGGCTCCAACTACAAAGAGTGTAGTTGGTTCCAAGGTTGTTTTAATGTTGGAGAATCACTTCTATTTGAGGCTGATATGATAATGATGATAGTGATACATGAAAGTTATATTGGTGGTGATGCATTTTGGTACCTAGCATGCCAGCAGTTTTGACACTTCTTCATTTCATAATCACAATGGCTCATTGGCCCAATATTCCCTTTTATGTTCATATTTGAGATATTAAGAGGGCCCAAGTCAACATTGGGGGCCAAGGCCCCTTAAGTGTACAAAGTGTGGTAGCGGGTAGTGGGGATGGTGGTTGGTGGATTAGATTGTGTTCAAGTAATTTCAGATGTGTCTGGGCTAATCAGATGTATGTTGCTCTTTGCTAAGTCACATTGTGTCTTAGCTTACATATAATGACCCATTTAAATATTCTGCATCAAAACTGATCATGTAAGGATTCAGTTACTGCACAACTTGCTAGTTATGAATACTGTGGCCTAGGCTACCAGCCATTGAATGCTTCTGGAGGCTGCAGGTGAAGTGATTGACCAAGGTCTGCTCAGGTATATTTATGATGGAGCTAAGGATCTTGGTATATTTTAGTATATGAATATTGAGATTGCCATCAGATTGGCATTTGAATATTCAACATATGCAATGATAGCTTATGTCTACAGAGGCATTACCACCCATGGAATGGGCTTACCAGTGATTATGTCAGTTCAGCACAGCTGTGTGATTGCATTAGATGTGTGTATTGAGAAATGAAAGGCACTTTAATGTAATGGAAATGTTTGGTATGATGCAGTGTTGTGCACATACCTGATATGAAATTTAAGGAAAGGAGTGACCAGCCTGCACTTTTTAGAATAGGTCATCTGACATCAAAAATTGGCTAGGTTTTCTGGCATAATTCAGCTTATGTGAAATTGTAAGTTATGTTTTTTCCAGATCAGAAGAATCAATGTGTGTGGCTTATTGTTGGGCTGTGCTGAGAGCAACTCCACATCACCTCCACCTAACGTGTGTTTTTCATAGTGTCTGGACACCTCATTTTGATTAAATGCTATTTTCATGTTGTAGTTTAGTGTCTTTCATTCAAAAGTCCAGCCAGTCTCATCAAATGATGCCCAAAGCAGATGATCATGGTGTGACTTTTACCTTTGTTTTGTTGTAATATTCTGGCAACAGTATGTGAAGGGCAAGCCAACATTTGCCAGTGCATTTCAACATTGTTGGAGGCCACCATCACAAAATGCAACATCTCCATGAGACTGCATGTAGCATAAACCTGACATTTAACAGTAACCTGTGCTTGGTAAGTGTATTCAATGTAAGAAGCAAATGTCATACTTAATATATTTAATGGGTGCAATGGCTTGTGTTGTGCCTGAAATGTACAGTTAGTCAGCAAGATAAATCATCTTTATGATTTATTCTGAAATAATTATCATGTAAGATGCAGGGCTATCAAATTCATTTTGACATCATAGAATGACTGCTTATGGAAGGGAGGATTTCATGCTTGTGACATTTATAGAAACTGATGTTTTATGTCAAATATTGCAATATTCTGAAAGCTAGCTGTAACCCAATCCTCAGCATTGTATATGTTACAGAACATCATTGCAAAAATTATACAAAGCAATTTCCTTGCAACAATATGAGCAAATGTTGAGTGCAAGGGTGATACAGAAATATGATATCAACATAGCATGCAACATTTGTGTAAGAATGTGTATAACTGGGGCATGGTTTGGGGCAATCTAAGGTCCATTGAGGGCTTTTGTTGCCTTAAGCAAATGCAGCATATGTGTCAGATACCGATGCATCTTCTAAATCTGTCTAAGCTGCCCATTCCACTCTAGATGCTTTGGTGTACCTTTCCTACCTGGGGATTAATGGATGGAAGCTAGTTATAAATTACAAGGCTGGATGACAAATATAAAAATTTTGTCATATTTAAGTTTCACATATTTATTTTGCAGGTTTTGTAATGTGAAAGCTAGTTTTTCAGGTTTAGTTACTTAGTGTAGCCAGTGATGAAATGTTTTTATTCTCTTTATGCCAAAAAACCCTTTCTGCAAATGGTTTTGGGGAGCATGGTCACTTAGGCCATAGGTCCATCAGGTGTTTAAGCTCTTCAGGATCAATCAAAGTAGTTTTATAAATTTTGTCATCAGCACCACTGTGCAGTATAGCTCACCATCATGGCACTTATCACTATAATGTTTACCATTCTGCTTTTAAGCACAACTGCTTCCCAATCAGAGGTGCTGGCAATGTTGCTGTGTCATCATTGCTGTGCTGGTCTTGAGGCAGCATTGCCGGCCCTACACAGCAGTGGCCGCCAGCATCGCAACTTAAGCACCTAACACAGTGCCTGGTCCTACCACTGGCCGCATTGAGGACACCCAGCTTTGGATCGCTACCATCGCCATAGGTTCCATACATCAGGCACAGTTATGCTATGCACCTCAGCCATAGGCTGTTGCATGAAGCCCAAAGGCTTCATAACATCTGTTGGGTATATTTTATAGATGTAAAAAAATCTCATATGTATTTTTTGTAGTAACTTGCAGCATGTTTCACAACACAGCAACTGCATCTTCAGGCTAGACAATATGCATGGATATGCATATTTTATATACATTAATGTGTTATGTTATAATATATATATATATATGTATATATATATATATATATATATATATATATATATATATATATATATATATATATATATATATATATATATATATATATAGCTAATCAGAATATTATTGCACTCAATAGTTTTATCGCCAGTCAGCGACCATATTCACTCCATGTTCCATCTCAACTCTGCTGAAAAGAGTTGGCGACAGCGGGATTCGATCTTAGGCCTGGACATCGCGGCGCGTACATGGGTCTACGCCTTATATGATGGTTCGAAAATGAATGCTATGGCGCACACTTTTGATCCCGGAAATCAAAAGAGAATTGTACAAGCTTCACTTCTATGCACTTTGTATGCATATGTATGTTTAAGATTATGAAAGCTGTGGGCCTGGAGAAGAGCATTTTACATGGGAGCGCCATGGCTAGTCGTGAAATGTGCGCCGTTGCTGCCATATTTTATACTAGGCTGTGTTGATCATGGTATTGCTGGTCCCATGTCACAAGAGGCATCTTGCTTGTTTAACCTGGCATCTTGTTAATCATCACAACAAAGACTACAGTGAGAGAAAACATGTGACTTGGCATTGGTTCATCTGAAATGTTTACCTGTTAGTGTCATTATGTCAGTTAGGAAGGGAGGCAACAAGAAAAAAGTACTGTCAGTTGTTTGTAGTGAAAGGCTAGCTGATTTGCACAGCACAGAGTGTGCACTAGGTCATGTTATTATTGGCCCTACTTCAAACATAAGAGGTGCCACTGTTTACCCCCAGAAGAACTTTAAGCTGCTGATAAAACAAGGTCCAACTGGACTATGTCCCGGAAACCTAAACCCCATTGGGATCCCATGTTGCTGGCTACATTTTCTTGCTAGTTGTGCACCAGGAATGGCTCGAACTGGCTGTTGGAGTATGGTAGACATCTACATAATCTGACAGTGGATTGGGAAATAGGCATGCTCTCATCAACAGTTGTGTGTTCATGTTGGCTATGCTGCAGCCTGTAATGAAAGCTACTCTCAGATCTGATGTGGCGTGGGTCGCAGACATGCTGTGTTTGTACTATGTGGCACTCACTATGTTTCTAGTGTCCTCCGGTCGCGGGGGTGGCGGGGAGCAACACTGTTTACACCCTGCCGTCGCACTGATCAGTTTCACAGCTGGCACCCAGTGTGGTGCGCCCCCCTCCCCCCTCTGTACCTGGGGCAGGGAGGATCCATAGGTGCACTTGATGTGAAATTACGTTTTGCAGACTTCTACAAATCAAACATTAAAACAGTCCTGGATACATTTGCCTAAAGGATTGCACGGATTGCGCCCATTTCACCTGAGGCATTTAGAACCAAAGGCCGCACAGTGTGCATACCTGATCCTGCAATCGTTGACGTAGAATCTGTGTCAATAAGTTACACCAACTGGCGTAGACAGAGAGATATTGATAAATACCGCTGGAGATGGTAACACTCATAGTCAGCAGCGGATCTCTTGGAGATGCGGTATGACGTGCACATATAACTCACCCCACTATTTTTGTGGAGGTGTGGACACCACCACCCTTGAAAAGTGCGTCCGGCGAAACATCTGTCGAAGTTCGAGCCAATGCACTCGTGCTGATGCACACCAGGTGTTGTACACACTTATCTGATGTACATTCAAGCAGTCATCATTGCTGTAGGTGGACTTTTCTGATCAGCCTGTCCAGTCCACACAATGGGATTAGAGGAATAGCCATTTGCCTATGACTATGATCTCGTTTTTCACAAATGATAAGGCTAAAGCTTTTTCCATCATTTACACATGGATCTGTATTGCCTAACACGTAATGTGCGTTTACAGCAGCCATCATGGATCTCGTCACAGCCGATCTGGGCAGAGAGCCTGCCAACATTCTGATGTTGCCTCCTGAACTCCTGGAGGCCATCATCAGCTATCTGTCATATGAGACCGCCTCCAACATCCGGCTGGTACGTCGTGGTGTAAACTAATCGCTAGCTTAGCCTAATACATCGTCTGTACAGCTGCTTCCTTGTGAATCGTTGAAGGAGCCCACCGTGCCACATAAATAATTACGAAGCAGAAGCGTAGGCGTTGCGAAGCATGGATGGCAATAAAACGCAATAGAACACGCTTGGGTCTGAACCTGAAACGACTCATCAGCCGCCGTCGCGTGTGGCGTGCGGTTTGAGTTCCTGCCGTGTTTCGATGGACCGGACGGAGGCTTGTCATGGATGCTTGACCCCGGGTGGTGCCTGTGGAGTGGTTAACGTGGTGCGCTGGTGTGTGGGCTGCCGTTGGTGCTCGCACGGGCAGCCGTGTCGTCCCCAACGCGTGCCGAGAGTCGCCGGTGTGCTGTCCGTGAACCAGCTCCTGCCCGCCGCCAGGTGTGCCGCACGTTCGAGCGCGCCATCCGGCACCGGCTGAACCAGGGCTTCTCGCGCGCCGAGCGGTATGTGCAACAGGCGCTGAAGCTGTTCCGCGCCCAGCTGCCGCGCCGCGAGTCGGAGCGGCGCGAGCACCCGCTCTCGCGGCGCGTGGAGCACCTGGCCGCCGTCGAGACGCGCCTCGGCTTGCTCAGCATGACCTACCGCCGCTACATGGAGATGGACGCGTGCTGCTTCATTCCGGGCAAGGTGGGTTGGCCGACGCCGCCGGGGCCGACCGGTCGGGTCGCTGGGGCAGCTGACGCGGGGGAGATCTACGGAGGGGGATGCTTGCGCGGCCTGAGATGTAGCGTTATGCCTGCTGCTTAGCAGATCAACGACTGGTCGGAGTGCGCGGAAGTGAATTCTGTTAGCCTTTTGAGGGCACCTGCAGGGGCTGGTGAATGATGATGGGTAACACAACCCTAGACAGTGGAACTAAAAAAGTTGGGACACAAAGATGCGTTTTGAATTGTTTCACTAAGGCCATACATCTACGGCGACAGAACGATCAAATCTATATGAAAAAAAATGATGGGCCTTAAAGGCGAGAAGCAGTGGACGTGGGCAAAATATTCGGGACCGATGAAGAACGATGTCTAGTCGGCCCGTGCTGGAGCGATGCCCGTTGTTTGGTGCCGGTGCCGGCCGCCCGTCTGTGCTCACCCTCACTGGCCAGGAATGGTCCGGAGTGCGGGACCGTCCTAAGGCCCCAGACTCCCATGCCCTGCGTCTTCCGCCCTGCGCAAAGCCCTGCGTTGCGGAGTTTCGGAGCTGGCGTCTCACCCCCTCCCCGCCTCTCTCCGTCGGCAGGTGCTGGACGAAGTGTTCCGGGTGGTGCGCTACCTGAAGGAGGCGCCCTCGGTGGAGCGCTCGTCCTTCACCGTGCTGCAGGAGCTGCGCGACATCTCCTCCATGGCCATGGAGCACTTCGAGGAACACATCGTGCCCGGCCTGAAGCGGAACGAGGCCCGGCCGCGGCCGCTCTCGCTGCTCAGCCTGTTCTCCGGCGGTGCCAGCAGCGCCGGTACGTCGCAGTCAGGCCTGCCGGGCCGGTCGCTGCCCTGCCGTCTGGGCTTGCAGAGCACCGAGCGAGGCCTGGCTGGGCAGCCGCGCAGACCACGCATAACTTCTTAAAGCAAGAAATCCGAGCGGGATCGTGCAGCATGGCCCTGGCAGCTGCGGACTGGACACTCACGTCGGCGTCGTTTTTGTATGTTGTGAATGTCGCGCCACGTTTGCCTTGCAGTAATCCCGGCCCACGCTGTCGCTGCTTCAATTCCTGTATTCCGCTACCTGCTCCGGACTTTTTCTTACCGCTCATAATAGTGTTTGTGCGACCTGCTGACCTCGACGCTCTGCGGACGGCGGCGGCGGGTGGCGGCGCGCCGTCGGGCCCGGCCCGGCTCGTGTCTATGTGACCTGCTGACCTCGACCCTCTGCGGACGGCGGCGGCGGGGTGCGGCGCGCCGTCGGGTCCGGCCCGGCTCGTGTCTGTGTGACCTGCTGACCTCGACCCTAAGCAGATGGCGGCGCGTCGTCGGATGACACCTGGCCCAGTCTGTGTGTGAGCGACCTGCTGACCTCGACGCTCTGCGGACGGCGCCGTCGGGTGACACCTGGCCCAGTCTGTGTGTGAGCGACCTGCTGACCTCGTCCCTCTGCAGACGGCGGCGCGTCGTCGGGTGACACCTGGCCCAGTCTGTGTGTGAGCGACCTGCTGACCTCGTCCCTCCGCAGACGGCGGCGCGTCGTCGGGTGACACCTGGCCCAGTCTGTGTGTGAGCGACCTGCTGACCTCGTCCCTCTGCAGACGGCGGCGCGTCGTCGGGTGACACCTGGCCCAGTTTGTTTGTGATCGACCTGCTGATCTCGTCCCTCTGCAGACGGCGGCGCTCCGTCGGGTGATACCTGGCCCAGCTCGTGCCTGGGCAGCCTGCTCTCCTCGCAGCGCGCCGCCATCGAGGCTCGCAACAAGAGCATCAACGTGGTGGAGCACTCTGTGGCCAAGCTCAGCCAGCAGGTGCGTGCTGTGATCTGGGCGGAAGGGGGAGGGGACCACTGGATGACGTGGTCAGTGCTGTATGGTCAGCTCGCGTCATGGCACAGTATGGGCACCCCACGTCGTGATACTGTAGCGGCAGCTCACGTCATTATCCTGCGTCGACAATTCATGTCATGGCACACTATGCTCAGCTCATGTCATGGTATGTTATGGTATGCTGAGCATTCCAAATTTTTTTCTAGTAGGGTGTGCAAGGATATAAAATAAAGTTGCATTCTACCCGAATCCCGGCTCTCCGGCGGTCCTCACTCGCCATTCGTTGGCGCTCAGCAGATGTCCTTTGACCCCAAACCCAGACATCTGACCTGTCCGGGCCATTTGTAAAGCCTGAGGCGCTTCGATGCTGGATTGACTGTCGCATTGTTCGATGCTGATTGGCTGATTTTGAGCAAGGGAATAGGCAACAGACAGTGAGCCTCAAGCCGCGGTGTAGTATCATGAAAACATATTGGCATCGCTGTCACCCAAGGGGTAAATATGACAACACTGGGTCAGTTCATGTCATGGTACTGTGTGGTCAGCTCATGTCATGGTTCTGTGTGGTCAGCTCGCGTCATGGTACTGTATGGTCAGCTCACGTCATGGTTCTGTATGGCCAGCTCAGGTCATGGTTCTGTATGGTCAGTTCACGTCATGGTACTGTATTGTCAGTTCACGTCATGGCACTGTATGGTCAGTTCACGTCATGGTACTGCATGATCAGTTCACGTCATGGTACGGTATGGCCAGCTCAGGTCATGGTTCTGTATGTCCAGCTCAGGTCATGGTTCTGTATGGTCAGTTCACGTCATGGTACTGTATGGTCAGTTAACGTCATGGTACTGTACGGTCAGTTCACGTCATGGTACTGTATGGTCAGTTCACGTCATGGTACTGTACGGTCAATTAACGTCATGGTACTGCATGGTCAGTTGACGTCATGGTACTGTACGGTCAGTTCACGTCATGGTACTGTATGGTCAGTTCACGTCATGGTTCTGTATGGTCAATTAACGTCATGGTACTGTATGACCAGTTCACGTTATGGTACCGTATGGTCAGCTCACGCCATGGTATTGTATGGTTAGCTCACGTCATGACGCTGTATGGTCAGCTCACGTCGCACAGGTCAAATTGAGGAGATGGTTGGGCGTTGTTATGCTGGATAGCAGCAGGAGAAGCATTGAACAGCGACGGGCACAGGGTGCATCGGATTGTCTTCTCCTCGGGGGGCCCGCTTCCTCTAGTTGTCCGGCATTGGGCAAGCCTGTAGTGATGTGGCGTAGCTTTTTGTCTCGCTGGGGGAAAACAGTTACCGTTATACTGGCTGGCATGCACACGATTGGCGTTTACATGATAAATTATTGAATTGATGGACATGTGTAACAGTTTACACACAGTTAAGCACGACGTATACTGCGTAAAGAGGACAGTTATACTGTGGTCCAGTCCGTTATGATTGGCGTCGTGTTCCGTATGATTCACCTTCGTAGACATTGTTTCGTAGATGAAGTAGCGGACGTTCTTTTGGGCATTCAGCGATGCATCCTCGGTCAGTGCAGCCCGTCTTCGCACTAAAAGTAAAGACGCCAATCCAAGGTTGTGGTTTGCAAATTCAAACGCAGACATGCTCACGGGTGGACGTAGACTCAGCACACGCGTGGTAATTAGTACAGGGTCTTCTCGATAGGTGGCGCTCTGGCAGGCTGCGGGCTTGACTCAGGCTCTGGCTTGCAGTGACGCTATAGAGGCAACCGGAGAGTGGTGGGCTGGAATACGGTGCGTTTAGGTTCACCTGAACAAACGGGCCCTTTCCGCGCCTGGCTGCCAGACCCGAGTTGTAGGAGGTCCGTCCTGTCTAGTGTCTCGCTCCCGAGACCCAGAAGCGAGTGAAAACACGCTCGTGTGTGGTGACTGGTTAGAGAGCATGTATCAGCGTCAGTCGCTGACCCAGCTGCGGTATTGTGACGTCATCAGTACGTCTCCCGCCAGGTGTCGGCCCAGCGGTCCCGCTCCAGCACTCAGGGCCAGTCGCTGACCGAGCTGCGGCAGCAGCTGAACGACCAGGCCGAGAAGCTCTCTGCCCAGGATCTGCTAATCGCCGACCTGGCCTCCAAGCTGGGGCGGCTGGAGGAACGGCTGCGCGCGCACACCGGTGACGACGCGGACCCGGACGACGCCAAGCACCGCAAGCGTCCGGCGCGCGGCCCGGCCGGGCCCGCGCTGCCCGCCCCACCCGCCGCCAAGCGCGTCAAGAAGACGTAGCCGTGTCAGTCACGGCTCAGAACCTTAGAAACCCGGCGCAGGGAACTCCCGCGTGCGGGTGAACACTCGGTTCTGCTGTACCGGCTGTGTTGTGCCGTTGGTGGTGGATAGGGGATGGCTATCCATCGGGCTGCCTGACCGGGGAGGGACAGTGCGGGCTGTTCAGTCTGGTGTGGCAGCTGTGTGCTGGCTCTGGTGACGGATGTGGACTGACGGTCCACCGTGTGGCTGGAGAGTAGCGCGGGTCACGCTCGGTCCACGGTCGTTAAGTGGCGCCGCTGTCCACTGCCCCGCCGCGGCAGGCGGAACTGCCGTCCGCTGCCCCGCCGCGGCAGGTGGAACTGCCGTCCGCTGCCCCGCCGTGGCAGGTGGAACTGCCGTCCGCTGCCCCGCCGCGGCAGGTGGAACTGCTGTCCGCTGCCCAGCCGCTGCAGGTGGAACTGCTGTCCGCTGCCCCGTCGCTGGCCCGGCTTGGCAGGTTCACGCGAATCCGCGATGCTACGAATTAATAACTGCGTGATTGTATTCTGGTGGTAATTCTACGCGTGGAGGTTGTTTTCAGCAAGGCTCACGTGCCAACGGGTCGCTGTCTCAAACTGGATGCATTCTACCTGCCTTCGAGATGCAACATGGTAGAGATTGAGGAAATGTGGCGTGGAATCGTGATATTTGTTGCTGCTGGCCCTCACGGACCAGTATGCACAAGCGTATTGCCAGCCTCTTTATACAGCCGTTTGTGAGCTAACCATGGTCCTGACATATGTAGTATATATTACTGTTCGCCGTGTGTATACTCCCACACATGATTGTGTCCTACTATGTGCGGATAGTCGGACGCCGCTTGGATGTTGCATAAATAAGGTACGATTAGCTGCTTATGGATCCGTGAGGAAATAGATGGTACTTCTCTCAGTAGAGGTGTGTTGTGAAAACGGTCTTCGTTTCATGGATATTGGCATTCAAAGCTCCAGGTTGATACGCCCCGGTATTTCGTGCGTCGGTTGGTCGAATTTGGCTGCCATTTGCAGCCAATTTCGTACAACATGGTGGTTCTAAACAGAGTAATCCTCTGGGATTTACGACGATGTACGACTTGGGTAATCCGGTCTCAAGACTATTCGAGAAAATCATTTTGGTGCTCACTTAACCAGGCAAACGCGGGGGTAGCTGCTGTTTGTGAGTTCTCCTAGCTATGGTACTGAGTAAACAACATAGTCAGCTTTGTATTCACTGCAGTTCGGAATACGAGAATATTTCAACGGTCAAATTTCAAACTGTTGGACTTTTTGATCCATCAAATCTTGAGTGGACTGTTTTTTGTCAGTTCATTGCTCGTGGTCCTGAGCCTGCATGCCAAAGGTTGCAGGTTTGCATTCGTCCGGAATAAAAAAGCGCGTTGAAGCGGCAAAATTTAGAAATGGTGAAGTGGGCACACCGCAGTCCAGTCCCAAAACTCATTTGACGCTCATGCAATTGAAACGCCGCACACCGTATACGGTTTCTGTTAATTTTGCTGCGTACCGTCTCAGCCGCGCCTCTCGTACAGTCCCGCGTTGTGTCGTCTAACGTGGGTCTCTCAGGCTGAATCGCACGCGCTTATGAAATCGTTTTCGGCAGACCATGGCGACCACCTTGGATTTACTGCTACATGTGCTTACATAGGATTTGGGGGAAGCTAATGCGAGGCCTCTTGCCCATGACAGTGCAGGACTACACGCCAGCGGGTAGATCATTATTTCCATGTATGTACAAATTTAGTATATGCATTCCAGATGGTTTACATGGGTGGTGTTTGGTTCAGTGCACCTAGTAAGCACATTTTATTGTTCACACCCTGAACACACCATCCAACTTGGATTGTACATCTCTGCAGATAGTAACAGTGCGAAATTCACATTCAGCAGAAATCGACAACCCCTTCGATTTTAACAAAATGTGTACCAAAGGTAGCCCAAGATGCGCAGACACCTTACGTAAACGCCTTTTGTGACGCATCGAGCAGTTTCGGCAGGGCGCAGCGGCCAGAACGTGAACATTAGCAAAGGCGCACGTGCGGCTGGTCCAACCCGGGGATTCACATAAAAACAACGGGAGATACGCTGTGATTAAGATAGGCCGTCGTGAGCTCACGGAATTGATTTGATGATATCATGTTTGCGCGGCATTGACATGAATACAATACGCTACGAACTCATTGACATAAGGGCCAGTTTCTAATCGGCAACCATCATTTTTGTCCCGTGAATACGCCACTTCTGCACTACATGCGAGATAGCGGACTACATAACCCATGACGTGCAGTCTGACAGCATTACAAACCGGAAAGTGCACTGAGACAATCAGCATGTTTTCTGTTTATTTTAGCATTATAGCTGAATACTACGTTGCTCTTTCCCTATCAACTTGACCAAGCCTTAAATATTTATGAAATCGACATTACTTGTCATTACAAGCTATATCATCTGGAAGGAAACGGTTGTGGGCTTTCATTCTTGTGTGCCATTTGCACACTAATCGGCAACCATCATTTTTGTCCCGTGAATACGCCACTTCTGCACTACATGCGAGATAGCGGACTACATAACCCATGACGTGCAGTCTGACAGCATTACAAACCGGAAAGTGCACTGAGACAATCAGCATGTTTTCTGTTTATTTTAGCATTATAGCTGAATACTACGTTGCTCTTTCCCTATCAACTTGACCAAGCCTTAAATATTTATGAAATCGACATTACTTGTCATTACAAGCTATATCATCTGGAAGGAAACGGTTGTGGGCTTTCATTCTTGTGTGCCATTTGCACACTGGGTTGGATCGAAACAGGGTCGAACATCTTAATTGGTAAGGCGAACCAGTCCTTGTCAGGGTGCGTTCAGCAATGTCCTGAATCAGCCGTTGACTATACAATGCTTTCAAGCACGAGCTTTGAGCGTGCCTGTGCGTAATTTGAGGTCACGATAATGCCACGATAAATGTCACGATAAATGAGACTGACGTCGCGATTTCCATGGGCCGGCAGCTTTGTGGCACACATCGCAACTGCAGGGCAAGTCTCATCGAATGGTGCGGGCTTGGGCACGATCGGAGTTATCAGCTCTGAGATATGAGTTCTCTGCAGGCAAGAATTTTGGAGTTTGCGAAATTTGATGACTTTTGATGTGACGTGGGGTCACCGAATTATCAACCTCAACAGCGAATCGGGTGTGACGCATCCAAAAGTGAAAGTTTCGTAGCGATCGGTCAGTTACGTTCCGAGAGCTGAGTTGTCTGCTTTTGTACGTGACATTTTTTCATTCGCGTTTTTGAGGTGCTTCACTCTGGCTCAGGTTTCGATATTGCCGCGCCATTGCTCATCTCATCCACTGAATCGGTTGGTGAAGGTTTCGAAGCAATCGAAAGGGCGGTTTTGGAGAGCGAGCGTGTCTGCTTGACGGGGTGGTTTTTAGTCCCTGCCAGCGGCTTCACCTCCAGAGGTCATAACATGTCAGCCGTTAAATGTGGACAAACATAATGCATATTGTACACACGACTACATATTACTCAGCTATCATGCAACCCCCAGCAAAAACCCGAAATAGCCCAAACCTGAACGGATCGAAAGGTATTTCTGATTTTCTTATAAACTAATCACTTTTCGCATAATGAACTATTTCACATCGACTTAAGCACGAGACCTAACGACCAGGAACATTCTGAACACTGCAAGTATGGAATATCCCCGGCAACAAGAGTATCTCTCGGATTTGTTCGGAAATAAAAAAACTGTGAACTCTGGACGCCACCTGAATTCTAGACGTCACCTCATTTCCGATTGATATTCTTCGCGTGCCAATGTAACGCATGCTGAGGGTTAAGGAGAGTCACCTAGCCTACTGAAGCCGATATAAGCCTGTTTTAGCTGAACGTACGCGCAATTTGAATCGAAGCTTTTAGGCAAAAGATAAGGCGGCTGACCTGGAGTTCAGGTCATGTGAAGTCATGTGATGAGGTTCTACAAGCGAGTATAAGTGACATGTTTTCAGATAGCAAATGCAATGCCGAATGAAGTGGTGTCATATGCTCGATCGAATGCAACCCAGTTTGCAAGATAAAGTTAGAAATGTCTGAAAATAATAAGCTTCCGGCGAAATGCAGCATTTCTTGTCCGCTTCAACACGAAGTCCAACGACTTGAAAATTCGGACCCCTTTTCCTTTTTTAACGCTTCAGGTGTAGACTATACGAGACAGGAGACCATTTCTCGGCTGCTCACGAAACATCGAAAATTGTGGTGTCTACACGTGACTGCGTGCCGGATCTTTTCTCGTCATGCACAAATATAACGTGTGATGAGAGATAAGCAGAGCAACCTAACATGTTGAAACCGATCTAAAACCGGTTCGAATGAATTTGCACAATAATTCAGACAAATCTTTCAGGTGAAAATAAGGGGCCGAGCCGGCGTTCCGTTCGTGGGAGATCACGTGATAAAGTAAAACAAGCAAGCATAAGTGACACATTCCCAGATAACGAATGCAATGGAGGGTAAACTGGTGCCAGTTGCTTGGTGACATTAGGCCTAGTCAAAGATCAAAATTGCGACTCATAAATGTCCGGAAATGATCAGTTTCTAGCGTAATGTGTATTATACATACAAATAAAAATATGTACACACAAAAATGTATATACAAATAAAAAGTAATAATAATCTACGACATGAAAAAAATCCGATCCCTTTGATTTCTTTAAAAAACACACATGTATTGAGTAACTCAGAAAAGGGGCATTTCTGGGCTCTCACGGGGCATCAAAAGCTGTGAACTCTAGACGTCTGCGGAGGGCCTGCGTTCGCTGCTGCTGCTGGTGTTCGTCACGCACCAGACGCGCATGGTGCGCCGCTTCAATAGAACTGCTGGCATCACCCTCAGCACAGCGGGGATGGAGGTGGCGGTGGAGGTGCTGGTATGGGGGAAGTTCGCGTTCTGGTGCCCGGCCGTGCAGCGTGCCGTCAGCCGCTTCCACGCCAGCCCCATGATCCTTAAATGCTGTGACCTGAACGCGCCAAACCTGCACTGCAACGGTGGGGTTGGTGCTTGCCGTGTGATATCCATGCGAGTGGTTCTCAAGAACCGGGATGAGATCCGTGGCGTGCGGCTACAGTGGTTGGCGCCGACATCCGTGAAGTATGTGACGCCAGGTTACGTCTTTCAGTGATGTGGACAGCATGATGGTTAGAGGGTATGTTCCACATTTGAAGATATGGAAGCAAGCTTGAAATATGATTAAATAAGCTCACTTATAACTATAAGACTACTTTTGATGGAAAAGACTGCCCTACACAACACAATTTCTCCACTTAATAAATATGCTCCTCAATACGTAATTGTTTGAATGTGTCATGGAACGTTTGTATGACGTTGAGGTAATGCCAAACTAGCCGTGTGAAAATTGACACTTACCTGTAATGCTTCAAACTCACTGAAAGATGGCAGCACCGGTTCAAAGTGTGCGCTAGGCCAACAATCGCAATGCATTCCTGTTTTCGCCGTTTCTCGTGGTATTCTTGTTTATCTTTCCGTTAGTTTAGGATATTAACTTGCCTTCACATGCTTGGCCTTGGCGTTGTTCAAGTCCTTCGATTATAAGTCCTACTTCCGTCAAATAAAGAAACCGCCTCCGCCCTCTTATATTAGGCGGCACAAAACGTTCTTCGTAATTGGAGGCTGCACATCTTGTTCAGCATTATTTGAGAGCCAATCGACGTCCACTATATTTGGAAATCACGCTCACGTGTGCGCCAGATTCGAACGACTGAATAATATTTTTTTCTGGCCTTGAACGCTGCCTGGCCTGTGGAGTGACAAGCTTTGAATGACGTTGCCACGGCTTTATGCATGCCTGAGTGATCTCGAAATAGTTTTCGCTAAATAG